GTGTAGGCACCTCGGAATGATTGTGTTAAGCTAGCACTAAGTCCCTCCCCCATCCACCTTTATTCTTTTCTTTACAATAAGGCTTTCAAATAAGTCATGGTTGTACGGCAGTGAAGCATCGGTGTTGAACACTGATGTCATACTGTCGATGATGATGATGCTGGCGCTTACCCTTCCAACGCCGAATAATGAATGGTCTGGGGAGTGACAGAGAGTGCTAGTGGACAGCGAACGTCTGGGAAGCAGAGAAAGCTTCCCCAATAGGAAACAATCGTATCCTACAATGACAGCTGGTCGAGGGTAGTTAAACAATCTCTAAAAAGACTAGGATCTCAGTCCATTAACGGAAACGTCGCTTTGAACGATAGGCTGAAAACAATAGCACTAGTAACAGTAAATAACAATCAGCTGTAACGGTGTCTAGATGCCATACTACCCGAAGGAAACACGGGGATCGAGCTACTACCAATAGCCCAATCCCAGACAAGAGCAGTCGATATGCTGAGGTCGGGTTCGAACCACAGACTTTTCAATCAGTTAGTTCGCGTCTTAGCCATTAAGCTATGTCGAGCTAGACAATGGAGAACAGTTCAACTGGGCTTTATTAACTCTATAAGGAGGATTTGAACCCGAGTTGAACTTCGACAATGGTCCAGCCTGCAAGTTCAGTGCTTCCGTGCAAAGCACCTGGTCCAGACGGCTTGCTTCCTGCACTCCTCAAGGGAGGTGCACTCCTCAAGGAGTCCCTTATGGTTAATCTGACAACTGTACTCCAAGTTATATGGAGCAAGGAAAAAGTGCCACAGAATGGAGCGCCCCAAACGGTGATTTTGTTTTTGAAAGGGAGTAAAAACAAAAGCATCATTCTAGTGTGCATAGCTTTCAACGTACTTTCTGGCATCAACCTACGCAAATTCATCAATCGTCGGGGGCGAGGTGGCTCAAGTGGTGAGAGCACGAATTTACTAACCGGAACGTCCGTGGTTCGAACCTGACCTTTGTATCTCAACTTCTCCTGTCTAGGCTTGGGCAACCTGGCAGTATTCCAACCCTCCTGCTTCCTTCGGGTAGTATGGCAGCTGCAGCAAATCCTCCCCGTGGGTTCATGAAATCTTTTCGATGTGCTGGTTGAGTCTCTTTTACCTGTGACAGCTACAACCACTGTACGGCAAGTACATGGTTCTTGCAGCTGATAGTGATGATGATCACCTGACTCTAACGCCTCGGGGGTCGAAATACTCCCAGGGCATAAGTATAAGTATAGGTGCTACTGCAAGATTGGATGATTTCATACCTCAAACTTGCGAATCGATGTGGTGGAATAGTTTGTCTCTTTAGGCTTCTGTATAGGTCCCAGTGTACTGGTGAAACGTGAAGTTACTTCCAGAATCGGGAAGACATGGACAGCGTTTGCCAACAGCTTACAGCTTCACTGTCAAAGATAGCGTATGATTCCGTGTTCCATGCTCTCCTACTTTATGGATCAGAAGCGTAGTTGCTGCGTGCGGATGATCTTTAGGTATTCTGTGTCTGAATATCGATGCCTCCAAAGCATTGCGCGGTTCTGATGGGAACACCAACTAACTATTGCCGATATACGTCAGATGGTCTTCGGGAAAGTTAACTCTCCCTGGGTAACTTGGCTGGTCATATACTTCATATGCCAAGGACCATTTACCTGGTAGAGCCCTCTTCATCCAGATATGTACCGAAGGGCGGTCAGTCCATGAATCGGCAACGAAACATTAAAGCCCTTGCCGGTGGGCCCGACTGCGCCAGTAACTACCGTCTCTCTAAATGGGGACTCAATGACGCGACAAGTAATTAGATAGCTATCTTGACAATCATGCATCCAGTGGCGACGCTGCATCAAAGCTATCATCTTCACTGCGTAACTCCCTCACTCCCTACTCAACTGGACGAAAGGAACTACTTTATGTCATGGAATTGATTGAGTTATCGCCCCCCAATGGGTGGCCCGCAGCTTTGATAAACGGACATAGGGCAGGTGTACTTTTATACACGCTTGTAGCTGAAAAACCAAACCGAACCGTTGTTCGCCTTGCCTAGTTCGAAGCTGTGGACATATTAAGCTGGAAATATGCGACCGGGAAGGAGGGGACTAAAATTCTGTATGCTGATATTGCAGGGTGGGGCCCATGTAACCTTATCTGCTCTTTTGTGGAGAGTGAAATGTATGGTGGCTAATCGACACCAATATGGTTCATGTAGTCAGCTATTCAGGTTGTCCGACGGTTTTGGAGGCATGTGCACCTCTTGTGCTCTAGTTCCCTCTCCATGTTCCATTTTTCTATGGTATAAGGCTTTGTTGAAACAAATCGGCATGGCTGTACAGCAGTGAGCAGCAATTTTCTTTGGTGTTGCCGTCAGTGATGATGATGATAATGATGTCTACCGAAGCCACCACACACTACATATGTATGGGTTTCCAGTTTAAGAAAATCGACTCATCTCCTGTTGGATGAGGGCGGATATGGATTACCTACTTTTCTGAGGCCAGTTTATTCATCTAAAGAAACTTACTTGAAGTCCTGCATATGCTCATGCAGACAATGGGCCATCATTATCGAACTTGTCTCTTCAGCTTAAGAGCCGAGGCCACCCAATTGCTCGGGTAACGTGATTAATTATTCAGCGAGCGGCTCACACGGTCAAACGAGGTGACCCAGGGCCTAAATTACGGTATCTTTATTCCTATATTCTGCCATGTCTACTCGTTTTACGAGATAGCTCAGTGGTTACGGTGCGAACTTATTGATACAAGAGTCTGCTGTCTGAACCCAGTGTCTCGGTTGCTCCTGTTTAGGTCTGGGCAGTTTGGAAGTATCTCAACCCTCGTGCCTCCTTCACGTGACATGGTAGCTAGGTACCTAAATTATTTTACATCTGTACGATTGTCATTACTGCTCGTCTTACGACTTGCCGTTTCCATTTGTAACCTTCCCTTGTACACCTGTCTTACTCTTCTGTCTTCTGTCTTCACACATTCCATTTGGTTGTTCTGCTCAATATCCCTTTTATTTTGTGTTTGGTTATCCCTATAAACTAGTTGCTCTCAAGTCTCACCCAAAATCCAGACAGTGGTGATAGTTCTGAATTTAGAAATATCTCGTTTGTTGATATCCTATTTGGCGAGATGGTCCAAGCGGTTCGAGCGCGAACTTACTGACCGGAAGGTCCGTGGTTCGAAATCGACCTACACCTCTCGATTTCCCCTGTTTGGGCTTGGGCAACCTGGCAGTATCCCATCCCTCGTGCAACCTTCGGGTGGCATGGCACCGAAAGGGTGCTACAGGCACCGAAAGGGTGCTACAGCTGAACGATCAATAATTTATTATTTTTTCATCATCCTATTTGGTAGTTCATTACCTAAGTGCTATAATCACTTGATATCTCATTTTCAGTTATGGGCGTTCGTGGTCTATGGAGCATTCTCGCACCTATACAAGAACACCGACCGTTGGCCGAGCTTGGTGGTGAAACTGTGGCAGTTGATTTGAGTATTTGGACCTGTGGGGATGTATCGATTAAGCACAATATGTCGGTCTCGACGAAACTATACCTGAGGTACTGATATACTGTTGTATTAGCAAATCGGATTCCCTCGTGGTGCATTCTCGTAAATCCGTTTTTCTTCTGATTCTCACAGAAACCTCTTTTTTCGTACGCTAAACCTTCTGCGACAGAACACACTGCCCGTCGTTGTCTTGGACGGTGTTGCACCGAGTTTGAAAGCAACAACCATAGCTAATCGGTTGTGTACGCAGTAAGTATGCTTGTTCATTCGTAATTATTACTTTCTCACCCCTCAGTTTCTTTATCAGCCTTGCGCCAAAACAACAATGTATCGTTTATATCACACTGCGGACACCCCATATTCATCTTCTCTTAACTCTTGTGCTGTCCCACTTTATAGTCGCTCTTATGTAGATCCAAGCTATAGGCATTTCAATGAGGCTTGACTGGATACCTGTATACAGCCGCCTCTCTACTGTCCAAAGTTCTGCTTCGACAAGAACGCACTGGTCGAAGTACTGGACGCGCCCTTCGATTGAACAGCGTTCGAGTCTTACTGACTACATTGCCACAAGCTATCTATGGACCGTCTAAATCCTTGGTCGCCGATGCCCTGGAAAACACAAGTTGATTCAGACAATGATTTCCTTCGGTGCGTGCTTTCATTGAATTTTCTTAGTAAACCGCAAGAAAAAGAACTCCCAGTTTGTCAGCAGGATATCTCAGTGAACCAAAAATTGGGGGAGTATATCAAAGTCTACAATGCAACTCATTAAAATGGCCTATTTGGTGGACGTCGATCGGTCAAACATTAATTAGAGCCGAATTTCACTAAAGCATACTAGGAAACTGTAGGCAATGTGTCGAAATATTGGTAGCTCTGATGACTTTATTGGTAGTTGATCAGGTGTCTGTTGATCTGTTCACCGAACTTGGCAACTGACCTGCAAACGTTTTATCACCGTAAGAGGAGACATCATGACTGCGCGGTTGGGTGGGTAATTCGTTGCCTGCGTGCGTTTATATAGCATTTGAAGACTACCTGTTATCTCTTAAGGTGATCGGCTAGTTGGGTGACAGCGATTTTCAAGCTTTATCGGCCCGTTCGCGATCTTTGTTGCATTGTATGAGGAAACAAGTTGCTAAAAATAAAAGGCGTTGGAATAGCGAATCGCCTTGGAGGGACACAGAGTACAATGCCACAAAGACCTCAAACGGATCAATGGATTCTCGAAAAACGCTGTCACCCAGCTAACCGATCACGTTAAGAGATAGTAGATAGTCATCAGTTGATGGGGGTGAGGTGGTTGAGGTGTGTGCTACGTATGCCCAACCACTGTCTACCGAAAAAAGCGCAGTTTTCTCTTCTGATCTGTTGTTGGTGAAAGGTTTCTTGGGGGGCAGGCCATGACTTAGCAACATGAAATGAAAGCGACTACTATCAACCAGAGTGCTCTGCCGTCTGCGCAACTTTCTGGTGCTGGCCCTTGTGATCCTTCGTGAAGACGGCTAGAAACCCTGCAAGACATGTGTCACGCAACCAATCGTAGTGCTGCGCATGCTGTCATTCCCCAACCGGACTGTCTAACTGGAGTTTGCCCGTCGTTATGCAGTGGGTCTTGGTGGAGTGAGATTCGCAAAGGACCCTGGGTTGATACCGCTGATGGGGCCTTAATCCGACAGGTATTATTAATTTCATTACTGTCGTATGTGTAGGTACTCTACCCCTCTTTGCTAAGGCCTTCTTCCCTCGTGTTAGTGTGGCGGCGGAATACCAGTATGTATTACTGTTGTATTGCTGTCAATGACGATGATGAGCCTGGTTACTGCCTTTGCCCTTTTCAGCCAGTCACATTGACCGTATTCTTTGATCCCTGTTTTCTCTCATTTTAGTGAAGCCATTGACTTTGTCAGTCTCATTTTGTTTGCTGCATAACAATGGCAACTTTGAATTTCCAGTTGTTTGTTGTAATCCAGTCGCCATAAACGCAAAGACTCGAGCATTAGACTAGTCTGCTGACATCGTCCTTTTTTCGCCCTTGTCCAGTTTGTAATGGAAACAGTTATGGTAGACTCACCCGCACTTCGCAGGATTTTCAAGTGCAGTGTACCCACTCGAAAGGAGTGAGTCGCACGGGCTGGTGGTCCAGACAAGCGGGCCACTTAGGTAAGCCAGCGTGGACTTGTGTGCCAAAGTTTATACTTTAATCGGTTACAATATACACGTGGTGGCTGCACTTGGACGTACAGCGCTTCTTTGCGAACCCACCGGACCGAGCGACTTGTTGTCTCGGGTTGTTGCTTCTATTCGGGTTCATAGGCCTCTTTGCAGAGCTTCCCTAAGTGAAGACCGAATAATCTGTTTCTCGTTATTTCTAGCCATTCGATCTAGACGTCCTTCTTCCCAAATCGTAGTAGTTTCCCCAATCGTTTGATTGAGTCAACTAGTCGCTTTTCATTGTACAAACCTTACAATTCGGTCTTGGGAGTACTTGTCCGTAGTATCATTTTCACATGCTCGCTTACTATGTTGCCAGTCAGAGCTGCTGCTTTTGGCAACATTCGCTGGTATGGGAGGACTCGGCAAAATGATCTTGTTGACAAGGAGCATAGATTCTCTCCTTTCTCGTTTTTTGTATAAATGTTCTGCACTATAATTTCTCTTTTTAGATTGCTCTCCAATCAGCTTAATTAAGCTTTCCACACCTTTTGGAGGCGATAAATTAAGTGACTATGTGTTTATCTAACTACTCCTGACGGATTATGAACTGATACGTAAGCCCCTATAATAGCACATCTATGATGTGTGGCCGTTTCGGAGGGACAACATACGTAGATATAGATTGAAGAAAAAGTTGGCACTGAACGTTGTGATGCCAATCAAGCACTTCGAAGCGATTCAGTTTCAGTTTTCCCACTTTCTGAAAGTTTGAACACGAGACACTGGCTGTGTGATTAACTGCTAAATGAGCCAGAAAAGTTAATTTGGAAGAAGGTTTGCCTGGAGCGGTAAACGGCGAATTACAAACTAGAATGGTACTTCCTGGTTGTTGAGGCCGGAGAAGAGTGCCGCTTCACCTTTTACTGGTTTTGACTTGAAATTCACCCCGAAGGCAGCGGATGATAGCAAATGTTTCAAGTGCCGCGGTCTGAGCCAGTTGCAATAATCTGCCCAGTTTGGCTTCCGCGAATGCGAGTGACCGAAGCCGATTGCATGAACGTCCGATTCATAATGCTGTTGCACACGACAAGCGCCCTCCGAGGTGCATCATGCTCTTGGTAAGGTTTGTTTTTCGGCTGCACTGGATTAAAATCAACCTTCGGACGATCGGCATATGTGGTTTCAGAACCTACCTTTCCCAACCCGTTTTTTCTCGGGACAGAAAAACATCATTAGCTATGGAGATCTTGTTAGCCCTCACTCTCTTATAGCTGGAGTTAGTATAACTTCATCCTCGCGACAGCTCCGTAGCCCACGTGTTTGTCGCTCTTTGTCTTACCGCTTTTTTCTAGCTTTTCTGGCATGATTGAAGCTCTTATCGGTGTCGCCCGTGGCTCCATTGCAGTTCTGAGCTTGTTAGTGGGTGAGGAAGATAGAAGTATCCAGCCAACCTAAAACTTTTTGAGTTGAGGTCTGGAACTGAGTTTTTCCAAGGTCAGTTGCGGTTCCTGACGCTTCTGAGAGCGAAAGTTTCCTGCATTTGTGCCGAGCAATTAGAAGTGTTCGTGTTTAGTGTGGAGTTTTGGCCTAACTATGTGGTTCTTCACTGCTCATCTTGTAACGTTTTCGCCATACCGGTAGTTTTTAGGAAGCGATGCGCATGTCTATCATAATCTTGATGGTTTCTAGGTTATATTTTGTTTCGTCTACCCCTATTAGGCGATACAACATTGGACTGTCGATTGATCCTGCGGTGCTGGTGAAACGGCGGCGCCTTTCGAAAATCTCCGGAGAGGTAAGGTATTCATCTTTTATGTGCACTGATTAGATAGAACTGTGTCATCATTTGTCACCTGCAACTCGTAACGTTGGCAAACAAATCATTCCTCTCCAAGTAAGGTCCACCTCTGTACGGCCCGACAAAAGTTGGTCTAAATGTACCTTGCTCTGTGCGCGTGGTCCGACTATCAATCAGTTCGTGTCATAAAACCCTTCCATGATCGCAGCGGTTTCGCTCCAATCATCTAACAAACGCGAGCAGTATTCTCCCATCGTTTTCTTTTTTCTTTCTCTCACTGCGTGTGTAACTGTGCGTTCTCAGCGTTTCACACTCGCGAATTGTGTAAAACCCCGCTGATCGGTTTCGTCGCCTGGCATAACAGTTATCTCCATTAAGTGCCTGTGCCAAAAGCAGTGTACTAATTACTCGCTCCTATTGGAGCCCAAAATCCACTTGAACAATGTGTGAACCTTGCCTTGTTATGTAACCCTCTGTGGCTGGACTGCAAGACCGCTGCACGCCCCAACATCCGGTGTTTGTGGGCTTTCTCGGACGAAATCAGCCGGAAAGCGTCAGGCCTCTACAACATGGAAATTGAATGCTAGTGCTATCAGCATAATGAGTGGCAAATGCCTAACGGCTGCGTTGCGTGTCAGTTGAATCTTAGGTATGAACAGTTATCTGTGGCGTTAGCATCGCCAAATTCTGTTCCGACAATCACGTCAGATCAATTAACTCTCATTTTTGCACTTCTTGCGTTGTCCGTGGTTCGAACCCCACCTCAGGATTTCGATTGGTCCTGTCTAGGCGTGGGCAACCTGGCAGTATCTTATTCGTCGTGCCTTCTTCTGTTAGCATGTAGCTAGGCACCGAAAGGGTGCTACAGCTGAACGATTTGATTTTTCATGGTATGAGTTCAAAAGGTTTGAACACCATGAGTTCCTGATGCATAGTGGTCGGTGTTGCATAGCAATTTAATAAATGATGCAGTGCAACTCGTGTCGGAAAGCAAGAAATGCTTGGTATCGACCGAGAAGTCGTAGTCTCGGAGTAGGCTTGACGAAAAATCGGTAAATTTATTGACTGGCAACGTATCGCTTTGAACACAGGGGACATACCAAGCGAGAATTTCACAAAATCGAAGCTAACACAGAGTCTGGGGAAGCGTCTTATAGCAGCGGCTTTTAGGTTGCCCTACGTTTCATATTTTTTTTACATTGCACGCGAGGAAATCCCTCCGGACTTTCGCCTTGACCGTTTTAGTCCAGTCACCTCCCTATCTTGTTCATTCTGCTTCTCTCCTACCATCCGCTGACCAAGCTTTAGACATTAAGCTTCAAACTTGGGAGCGTCAACCACATGAATAACCTATCCACATTCGCTTCCTACCGCTTGTGTCATCACCCTGACGATCGCTGGTCTTTTGACCCTGGAGCGATTCATAGTGTTTCCAACTGAGTCATTCGATCGTTCATGCTTCCCTATTGTTGGTCTATCATCGATCATCGCACTGTCTGTCTTACGTGACTAGCTTCATTCCAGTTGATGATCTTGTGCCGTGTACGTCGTCGTTCTGTCAAATTTATTTGGGATAGTCAATAGAAATTTCGTCCTGTCAGTGAAGCCAATTTGTGCTGAAAAGCCGAGAAGCACTGTGCAGCTGTTCCATCCTTATTGGGAATCATCAGCAGTGGGCATCTCACGAAACC